AAACCGGCCATTATTCACCTCCGCCGACTCCGACACCGGCCAAAATTGGAGACCCGGCCTTTAATTGAATAACGGCCTGTATTGGAGGATTTACGGTATATCATCAAATTTGTTACAGTTTACCTGGACGATATACTTATCTTTTCCAGAAACCTTCCAGAACATCAACAACACGTCCGAGTGGCCCTCCAAAGCCTCCTCGAGAACCGACTGTATGTTAAGGCAGAAGTGTGAGTTCCACGCCTCCTCCATCAAGTTTTTAGGGTTTGTTCTGGAGAGTGGTCGGCTGAGGACGGACCCTGACAAAGTAGATGCCTTTCAGACATGGCCAACCCCCTCAACACGTAAGCAACTACAACGATTTCTAGGCTTCGCTAACTTTTACCGCCGTTTTATTAGGAACTACAGCCAGATCGCCGCACCTCTCACACAGCTAACCTCCATCAAGAAACCCTTTTCATGGTCCCAGGAAGCAGACCAGGCTTTTCACTCTCTTAAGAACTGTTTCACCCAAGCACCCATATTCACTTGTCCTGACACTTCATCCCAATTCACCCTGGAAGTCGACGACTCCGACACAGGGGTAGGAGCTGTCCTCTCTCAAGTCTCCCAAACGGATCACTGCCTCCATCCCTGTGCCTTCTTCTCCTGTCGTCTCACTCCTGCTGAACAAAACGATGACATGGGTGACCAAGAGTTATTGGCTATAAAACTAGCATTGGAGGAGTGGCGCCACTGGTTAGAAGGAGCAGAACACCCCATAATCATATGGACCGACCATAAGAACCTGGCTTACCTCATGTCATGTTCTGAGGTATGTACTTAACCCAAGACATGCAGAATCAGAGACCGGTGGCAAGTATGATGGTAAAAAGTAAAAATAATTTTATTTTGACAGGAGATCTAAGGGCACACTGAAGTCCAGCGGTTTCAGAAACAGGAAGCGGTGTCTACAGGGAAACAGAGGTGAGTATGGGAGTTGTAGTTCTGGGAGATTTGTTTGTAGTCGGACTTACTATGCGGAAGAGGAATTGGAACTTGGAACTTTTAATGATGTTGTTCAGCACCTTGGGCACCTTGGGCTTCGGATAATGTTGTAGAAGGTGCTATACAAATAAAATTTGATTGATTGATTGATTGATTGATTGATTGATTGATTGATTGATTGATTGATTGATTGATTGATTGATTGATTGAACTTGGAGGGGGAGAGAGCCGGAGTGATAGCCAAAGTGAGGTAGCGGTCCAAGATGATGAGTGAGACGGAGGATGGTTTGAGGAGGTAGGAGCGTGGTAGAGAGCGGGTCGGCTGGCGGAGGTGAAACAAGAAACGAACCAGTGATCTTCTTCCAGAGAGAGCGAGATATCCGAGGATCCAGGAACCTGAGGTGAGTACCAAAAACACATGAGCGAGTAATCCAAAACTCCAAAACACGACAAATCTTTGAGCAAAGTTTAAGTGAAATCTCGAAGGGCAAGCGACTACCAGTTAGTGGCAATCATCCAGCGTCGTAGTCTGGTCACCCTCCTCCTTATAAAGCCGACCCGCTGATGAGGAACAGCTGTAGCTCCCTCTCCTGCAATCAGAGCTCAAAGGTTGTGAATGAAGTGACGAGTACTCACCCCGGCTCATGACACCTCAAGGAGGCTAAGAGACTGAACCCCCGTCAATCTCGCTGGTCCTTATTCTATTCCCGTTTCAACTTTGTCATTTCTTTCAGACCCGGCTCCAAGAACATTAAACCTGACACTCTCTCTCGTCAATATGCCTCGGATAGAGAGGTGGAACCCACCACCATCCTGCCTGCCTGCTGCATAGTCGGCTCCATCTCCTGGGACACAACGAACAAGGTTCTGGAGGCTCAACAACATGAACCAGATCCCGGTACCGGTCCACCACACAAAATATATGTTTCTTCCAGCACTCGAGGGGCTCTTACACATTGGGCACATACGGCGAGGTTTTCCATTCATCCTGGCCTTGGCAGAGCAATAGCCCTCATCAGAAGGACCCTTTGGTGGCCATCCATGTATTGGGACGTAAAGGAGTACATCAGCGCCTGCCAGGTATGTGCCAGGTACAAGAGCAGTGTAGTGAACCTGATTAGGCTCTGTCAATTATGTAGAGTAATGGTTTATGCTCTTTTATGAAAGAGGAACCATTCTACATATTAGTTTGAGATATTAATTTTAATAAATTAATAACCAAATTTTATAGTTTTAAGAAGACTCAAAGGTTGTTTTCATCAATAAACTGTCGATAATATCCGTGGGTCTGTGTTTCAGTTCAATGAAGAGACAAGTTTGAAAGTTAAAAGATTTAATTCTTCAAATTAAACTAATGATTTTGAAATGACAAGCATAGGAAACAACAATCAACATTGGCAACTTTGTTGAACAATCTTTAACAGTTGATATTGTAAACTTGCTCAAATAGATCTTGTGTTGGATGTGCTGAAGATTGAGAGTGATGTGATTATGGATGCGTGTGTGCAAAATGTAGTGAAAACTGAGAATAAGGTGAGATGAATGCGTGTGTGCATCTGATTTTGCTTCAGGAAGAAACAGGTGTCTGAGTGAAAAGTGATGGTTTGAATAAACTTAGGTTTTGTTGGAAAAGATGCATCAAACGCTATCTACTGTGTTCTGCTTCACCATACGAGGACCCTCGTTCAGATCCGGAACGTCAAAGGATGATGTTTCATCCAGGTCACCTCGGCTGGCAGAGAAGACGAAGGTGTCCACCGATCCGGTCCAGAGATGCCCCCTGGTACACGTTGATGATGAAGCGTTTGCAGATGCGCTTTCTTAAGTTTAATTACTCAGAAAATCAAAAGACTCTGGACGAGTCTGCGTTAGCGGTTGCAATTCAGCTATTCCTGTCTGGCTTGGCAGGAACAGCGTGAGGGGAGGGGAGGAAGGAGCCGCAGCTCCGTTCCCCGTTGGCGTTGTTCACAAGTCCTCCCTCTTTCGTGGTCAAACACCGAACTGAATCATGAACTGAAACTTACCAAAAGCCTTTCTCTTCTCAAAGCAAAACGTGCGTCAGAGCAAATGTGTTTTGGAGTTTACTGTGAGAGAGTGTGTGTGTGTGAAGGTCATTATAACATCTTCAAACATTATTTAATTAAGCATTGACTCATTAGTTATTATGATTACCCAAAGCATAATACAGGTGCTGGCCAGTAAATTAGAATATCATCAAAAGGTTGAAAATATTTCAGTAATTCCATTCAAAACGTGAAACTTGTACATTATATTCATGCAATGCACACAGACCAATGTATTTCCAATGTTCATTACATTTAAATTTGATATTCATAAGTGACAACTAATGAAAACTCCAAATTTGGTATCTCAAAAAATTAGAATATTCTGAAAAGGCTGAATATAGAAGACACCTGCTGCCACTCTAATCAGCTGATTTACTCAAAACACCTGCAAAGGCCTTTAAAAGGTCCCTCAGTCTTGTTTTGAAGGCACCACAATCATGGGGAAGACTTCTGACTTAACAGCTGTCCAAAAGACAATCATTGACACCTTGCACAAGGAGGGCAATACACAAAAGGTGATTGCTAAAGAAGCTGGCTGTTCGCAGAGCTCTGTGTCCAAGCACATTAACAGACAGGCGAAGGGACGGAAAAAATGTGGTAGAAAAAAGTGTACAAGCTCTAGGGATAACCGCACCCTGCAGAGAATTGTGACGACAAACCCATTCAAAAATGTGGGGGAGATCCACAAAGAGTGGACTGCAGCTGGAGTCAGCGCTTCAAGAACCACCACGAGGAGACTCATGAAAGACATGGGATTCAGGTGTCGCATTCCGTGTGTCAAGCCACTCTTGAACAAGAAACAGCGCAAGAAGCGTCTCGCCTGGGCCAAGGACAAAAAGGACTGGACTGATGCTGAGTGGTCCAAAGTTATGTTTTCTGATGAAAGCAAGTTCTGCATTTCCTTTGGAAATCAAGGACCCAGAGTCTGGAGGAAGAGCGGAGAAGCACAGAATCCACGTTGCATGAGGTCCAGTGTAAAGTTTCCACCGTCAGTGATGGTGTGGGGTGCCATGTCATCTGCCGGTGTTGGCCCACTCTGTTTCCTGAGGTCCAGGGTCAATGCAGCCGTCTACCAGGAAGTTTTAGAGCACTTCATGCTTCCTGCTGCTGACCAACTTTATGGGGATGCAGACTTCACCTTTCAACAGGACTTGGCACCTGCACACAGTGCCAAAACCACCAGCACCTGGTTCAAGGACCATGGTATCCCTGTCCTTGATTGGCCAGCAAACTCGCCTGACCTTAACCCCATAGAAAATCTATGGGGTATTGTGAAGCGGAGGATGCAATACGCTAGACCCAACAATGCAGAGGAGCTGAAGACGACTATCAGAGCAACCTGGGCTCTCATAACACCTGAGCAGTGCCACAGACTGATCGAGTCCATGCCACGCCGCATTACTGCAGTTATTGAGGCAAAAGGAGCCCCGACTAAGTATTGAGTGCTATACATGCACATTCTTTTCATGTTCATTCTTTTCAGTTGGCCAACATTAGAGAAACAAACATTTTTTCATTGGCCTTTAGAATATTCTAATTTTCTGAGATACCAGATTTGATGTTTTCATTGGTTGTCACCTATAAATATCAAAATTAAACGTAATAAACATCGGAAATACATTGGTCTGTGTGCATTGCATGAATATAATGTACAAGTTTCACGTTTTGAATGGAATTACTGAAATATTTTCAACCTTTTGATGATATTCTAATTTACTGGCCAGCACCTGTATTCATTCATTTGATTAAAACACATTTATAATGAGCAAAATGATAATACTGATCATTTAACAACTTAAAATAAAGGAAAGGAAGTTTAAGACTTTGTTATGTTATTATGTTTATGTTTATGTGCTTAGCAGACCCTTTTACCCAAAGCGACTTACAATATATATATATTTTTTTTTTACCTATAGGGCATGTTGTGATCTGTGGGGGAAACCGGAGTACCCGGAGAAAACCCACGCATGCATGGGGAGAACACGCAACTCCACGCAGAAAGGCCGCAGCCGAGTTTTGATCCTGCGACCTTCGTGTTGCGAGGCTACAGTGCTAACCACTGCGCCACCATGCAGCCATGTTATGGATAGCTTTTCCATGGGAACACATATTGTGGCACTGCAGGTGTTCAAATGTTATGGTTTCCAGCAGACTCTTGCAGACTTCATGTCTGCAACGGTCTCACTCTGTGGGTGAAAGTTCTCAGCAACCCAGCTCTTGACCCAGCCGGGCAAAGTATAACTTTTGGCACAGAAAACCCATATTTCCTCATGTTACAGCAGTAACCAGTCTCCCCAGGGTCTCCTCCAGCCTCTGTCGGTCCCTCCTCATCCGTGGTCACACATCGCCCTGGATTTTGTAACTGGTCTCCCCACATCCAGAGGGTTCACTGTCATACTCACCATTGTCGACCGTTTTTCTAAAGCCTGCCATCTGGTCCCACTGATGTCAGTCCCTTCATCTGCTGAAACCGCTGAACTGCTCGTGAAACATGTTTTCTGCCTTCATGGCCTGCCAACAGAAATCCTGTCAGACCAAGGTTCCCAGTTCATATCCCGGGTCTGGACCGAGTCTGCCTCTATCAGCAGGTGAGGTAACCTGGCAGTCAGCTGTTTGTGCTGCAGGTGGGCGTGGCATGAGCTCCAGCTGATCCTGATTCCGCTAATCAGAGGGCCAGGGGATTTAAGGAGCGGTGTGACACAACTCCAGTGCCGGTTGATACTCTCACCAGGGTAGCTTCTAGCCCAGTACATTACCTGATCTTCCAACGAACTTGTTCTATGAGATCCTGTATGCTCTTGTTTCTAGTATCGCGTCTCGCATCCTCCAACCACGCCCGGAGTTGTTTTCCTCATCCTGTCGCTCAGGATCCTCTGGCCTCCACTCTCCATCGCTCTGCCTGCCTGCCTGCCAACCTACATGCTGGACTCACACAACTTTCTTCTTTTTTTTTTTCACACAACTCACACAACCTTCTCCTGTCCACCTCCTCTACAACCATCGGACCTGCTGCCTCTCCTCCACTGAACTTCACCCAGTCCACCACAGCTAAGAACTGGTTTAAGACCGTAAGAACAATTCAAACACCAAACTTATTATTCTCTTGGTTCTCTGGTTCCGCCTCGTATTGTCATGTGCCGGGGTGAGTACTCCTCTCATTGTTTCCATCTTTGAGTTGCTGTGTTTCAGGAGAGGGAGGCTCCAATTGCAGCTCATTGACAATCAGCGGGTCCAGCTATAAGAGGAGGAGGAGAACACATCTCGACGCCGGATGATTAACTACAACTTGGTAGTTCCAGCCCGTTGTGTCTCCTGGTTAAACTCTAGTGATTTTTTGAATTTTTGTGTCTCTGTGGATTAACCCTGCTTACATGTTCCTAGGATTTTTGGATCATTGTGGACCTTACCTTGATTCCTCAGGATACTCCTTGGACTTCTGAAGCTCCTCTGGTTCTCCTGTGGCTCCCCAATTACCTTTCCACAGTCCCGCTGGATTACTCGCCTTCGCTGGATAACTCACCTGTGCTTCATAAATCTTCTGGACGCAGCACTCACTGTTCGCCTCTCATCCCTGCCGGTGTTGTGCCATAAATCGACTCGCTGCCAAAAACTGATTAGCCACCGCGGGATCGCGCACGGTTAGGGCAATTGCATTTCTAGACGAAATTCTCCAGGATTTCGCCCTAAAACTCAGCATATCTAGCAATATGGACATTCAGAAAGCAGAGGTAACCTCTTCCAGTACTTAAACAGATGTTTATCGCGGATATTAGTTTTTCCAGTTCGGAAGTTGTTTTAAGTGTTGCTATTTGTCTTAAACGTTCACAATGAGGATATATTAATCCTTTTTGCAATATTTGCGAATGAAAGACGGATTGTGGTCAGAACTGGCTTTCTTTATGCTACAGCCTTGATACAAAAAATAAATAAACAATGTAAAATGGCGCCCTGTATTGAATGTAAACGTTGTATAAATGGAAATAAACATTTCTCCAGCGATTTTGATTTATCCCCCCTTCCTTTCTTTAGTCTACTTGACATGGAGCCACGGTTAACTAGTTTGGGGCACATTTTTACTTGAAAAGTAGTATTTAAACTGATCAAGCTTTGGCTTTAATGACACTGTGTAGGTTACTATCTATACTTTACGTTGCTCTATTTAAAAGTAACAAAAGCACTTCAGCACATAAAATTAAGATTGTCACTTGCCAAATAGACTACACCCTCCTGTTTACCTATAAGAAACGCCTCAAAATATCTTTAAATTATTTTTTGATGATTAATTGTAGACAAATAAAATGGCATTTTACTTGCCAAAAAGTAATTGAATCGCTCAGATTTTCATGGAGATTAAAATTGACCAAATAAGGGTTTTATGTATTATCTGTTACTGTACTCATACTGTCTACTGTATCATCATAAACACCCCAAAAATGGCAACAAAAAATAATTTCCCTTGCCAAAAATTGATCAGTGTCCTGGTCACCTGTAAAGGGTTTCAATTTACCTAAACCAATTTACCAATTTACCGCTACAGCTCTAAGAATAGATCTAACCTATAAATACCGAGGTTTTATAGGCCGAGGGGCCTGCTTCTGTGTTTTCGTCAATTGCGTAGTAATGTGTGGGTTTATATATGAGCAATCGCTGCTTGCTTAACTCATCCAGGTGAGCTATAGCTACTTGGTACCTGGCTTATCAGCATGTTGCCAGCGTCTTGGGCCAGATGGCAGGCCCCTTTCAAATTTTAAAAATCAGTAGGCATATTATTATTCGTCCGCGGACGTTAATGCGGCTCAAACGGCAGCATGGCTCGGCAGTGGGAGGTGTGGCATTACTTTTCTAAGTGATCTGATTTACCATGGCGAAATAACCAGCAGAAAAGATTTAAAAACATTCCTGTTTTTAGGCATATTGAACTATCCTTTCAAATTTTGAGTGTCTAGCAATTTTTTACATTTGCATTAAAATGGTCTTGTGCCAGGTGGCAGGTCTTTTTATTATTAGGAATTTTTAAGTTGTTGAGTATTTCACATTATGTTTATTGTTATGCACCTAGGAAGTTTTTGACATTAATGTCCTTTATTATTCTTTTTCTGCTGACGTTAATGCTGCTCAAGTTTTTTCTTTTCTTACCTGTTTTTTTTTCTCATGTTTATTTTTTTGTCATCCAAATAACACGATGTTGGGGTTTTCCACCCCAACAGCACCCACATATCATGATTTTGGTTTGGGTTTGTGTGTTGTCATCCAAAAGCAAAATAAACAAGCAAAATTTTTTAATATGGTGACATTAATTCATTCATTATTGGCAACAAAATAATTCATTTATTAGTGTAAATGCAGCCTCTGGTGTAATTTAATAAAATGATTATATTCATTCTAAGACATCAAAATACTGTGGAAAGTTACTGTGGTTAAATTTTTTATTCTATATCAGCAAGTCGTCAATTTCACATCTGTCTTTCAGGTGAAAGCCAATATTTTCACCTCATATGCCACGCGTATCAATTATTTTTATGCTGTAAATAATATTTTTGTTTTGCTTGATCTGTTCAACATTAAATCTAAGAAGAGGAGAGGAAATACAGCCAGTTTAAAGGGCATGGAAGCATATCCTGTTCATAAAAAAATTAAACTTTGATCCAGTCAAAGAAAATATATGACACAAAAATCGTAACAGCAAAAAAATATGCAAAAAAGAACAGAACATCGATTGTCTGAGCCAGTCTTCTGCAGCATCCCGGCTTTCTGTTTCCCTTTTCCCGACTTCCTGCATCTCGATGAGCGGCCTTCACTTCATCCAGGATTTGTTTCAGCAGATCAGCATCGGCACACCGATCCTTCTCTGGTTCTACATGTCCATTCTCCTCAGCTCCGGGAGACTCTGAGTGGAAAACAAGACAAAAATGGCCAGAACAGCAACATGCTGCATTCAGGACCACACTGTTTCCCAGACCAACCATGATTTTTTTCACCAAGATGATTCCATTTTTACAAAGACATGGCTGAGGAAGACAAGGGGACAGATTCCAAATGCAAAACCATTAACAACTGTTTTCATTTCAAGTGGGATAAAAATAAAGTTGTGGAACAAGAAAATGCAACAGCTCGTGTTTTTCTAACTTTGTACATAAAACAAACACATTTCATAACCTTTATATTTTTGCTATGTTTTGCAGAACTAAAACATGCATTTTCTAAAATTGGAATTGGTTTTCTAGAGGTCTGATTATGCTAATCCTATTTTCAGACATTGAAGGAAATGTACCTCTGTGAAAACTGGCTTCTTTGTTGATGTAAATTTCGTCCTCAGTGGGATTTTGAGTCTTCTGTCCACAACAAACACCAAGATCGATCAAGAAGCTCACCAGCATGGCCTCGAGGACGCTGAGCCAAACCAAGGTGAACACTGAGATGCAGAGGATGGCTAGAACAAAAGCACACCTTTCTATTTTTCATTCAGTTGACCTTCATTTAACTACGTTAGTCGATTGAGCACCCATTCTCATTTACAATGATGACCGGGCCAAGAGGCAGGCAACACCATGAGATGTTGCTGAACATGGAGGGTGGGGGCTATACATGTAAGCACGAGTGTTAAATAAATGAGTTAAGCATATGAGTGTCACAGCAAAGGGTCTGAATACTTAGGATCATGTGACATTTCTGTGTTTTTCTGTCAGTATGGGGTGCTGAGTGCACATTAATGAGGAAAAAATGAATTTAATTGATTTTAGCAAATGGCTGCAAAACAAAGAGTGAAAAACTGACGGGGGTCTGAAAACTTTCTGTACTTACTGTATGTAAAGTCAAACTTCCTGTCACCCTTTTAAACTCTGAATAGTTTCTATTGTAAAATCATCCAGTGCTAAATGTTTTCTGACAATTTATTTTAACGAAAAGAACTATAGGGATGCAACAATACCACTTTTTTCCAAACCAATACGATACCGATACTTGGATCTGAGTACTCGCCGATACCGAGTACCGAGACGTTTACCACACAAAAAAATGCAATGAATTGGAATACAGGTTTTATTTTCTTCTCTTCTTTCAACAGGAAAAGACTGTGAGGAAGATAAAAAATAAAATATATTAATAGAAATTATCACGTATGATCATGCATCCCTAAAATGAAATAGTTTAATATTATGAAGCATATTTGCATTCTTCCACCATAAATCATCAGAACATGTTTGTTCATTTAAAAGATGCGTTAATATATCATTCAGTTTGTTCCTTAGAGTACTAAATATAAAACAAGAACCTTTCACCAATAATCTCTGATGCCAGTTTGTTTTGAATTCCTGTTGCAAACGTAACTGCTCAGGTGTCAAAGTGGCAGCAGGTTATAAAGTCTGATGACTTTTTATGAAAGATAAAGTATGATTCTGATAGATCTAGTCCCCAAGAGGAAACAAAAAGCTTCTCCTAAGTGTCGACAAACTGATTGGCCCTGTATAAATAAATGTCCAGTAGATCAAATCTTTGCCACCAAAACTAACTTTCATTAAAAATCAGAGCTAGAAAATCCATCCAGCAGACTCAGACTGACATAAATGTCCTAGACACGTGATCCTCAGGGATAGACGTCCCGCGGCAGCTGGAAGTCTTTGAAGCTGTAGAAGGAAATGTCTCCGTGGTCGACGACAGCAAAGACAACGGGGACGTCTCTGCTCTGAAAGGTCAGCTGCTTGATGACTCCCAGATCAGGAACAGGACCACTGAAGCTGGAACAGAGTCAGCTCTGTGAGAATCATCGGCTGAAATTTCATCTGCAACATTGAGGAAATCACTCTGAAAACTCATCAACAGGAAACTAAATCTGAGAACAAAAACAAACTCACGGTGCCACAAGTTCTTATTAGCGTTCTCCTGACATTAACAAAGCAAAAAAACAAAACCATCAGTAATCTATCCTCATCAGAACAAAGGGCTGGTTCGGGTCGTGTTAATGGTTTCTCTGAAAGTCAATCCTGAATCAACAAGCACTCCGGCTGTCATCGCTCACCTACAAACACACATGCGGGCGTACGGCTTCCCCGGGTTGCTCTTCCTGAAGTCAGCCACCGAATCAGGCTGGTAAACATTGAAACAGATCCTCCACTCGTCCGCGCCTTTTAACCTGAGCAGACAAAAGGACACCGGCTCAAAGTCCTCGCTCTCAGAGAACAGCAGCACAAATAAAACAAACCCGAGCCCACGCTTTAGGAGTTAAAGGTCATAAAGAGTGACACGAATCACGCCCGATTTATCGTCTTCTTTCAAAGGCGACTCAGCGCCGACTAGGGTTGTCACGGTATGAAAATTTAACGTCACGGTTATTGTGACCAAAATTATCACGGTTTTCGGTATTATCGCGGTATTTTTTAAACGGTGTTGCATATGTTCAGAAAGCATTGATAGTCCTGTTCTACACAAACTGAAATAGTTCTGAAAAGGTTTAACAGTGTTTATTAAACCTAAAATAACACAAAGCCTTAGCAAAAGTGCAACTTTTCACAAGTAAAGGAACAAATAGCTTATTTTTCTGGAACTTGTTACAGTAGTCAGTGCAGGTTTAAATTATACAAATCCAAACATTCAAAACATAAACAATATGTAAACAAATCAAAGAAACACCACTTGTTTTCTCATATACTTGTTTTCTTCATTATCAAAATGAAAATCTAAAACTCCAGTCCACACTTGACTTGAGCACTGTACAAGTCAACCTTAAAAAATATGTATTTAAAATAAATAGCCACTTTAAACAAATTACTAAAATTACTACTACACTATGTAATCAAATCCAAATGTTCAAGTATAAATGGCATTGAATAAGTAAACAAATCAATGACAAGGAACTAATTGTATATTTCTCTTCATCATCAACAAATAAGATGCTTCATCCAGCAACAGGGTGTCCGTGACACGGTTTAAATGCTGGCAGAGGACGCTGCGGCTGCAGTATATGGTGACTCGTTGCATTCTCCCTCAACCAAAAGTCCTCATGTCATGCATTTAAGCTAAAATGCTAATGTTAACATTTATTAAATGTCATTATTACTACTATTACTGTTGTTGTTATTGGTAATGATTTTTACTGTTTATTGTTGCTAGAGGTGCTGAAAAAAACCGATTCAAGTCTGAATCGGGATTCTTATTTATAAAGATTCAGAATCGATTCACAAAGGTTCAGAATCGATTCCAAGAACTCAAACATTTGGCACGTTACAGGTTTGAGAAACACTTTTGTGATCTTTGTTAGGAGAGTCAATACTCCGATTACTTTCGTAAACATGGCCTATCATTCCATCTGTATGCTGACGATTGCCAGATTTACTCTCCGTTGTGTCAGGAGAAAGGTCACTCTATTCAGTCCTTTGTCTCCTTTGTTAATGAGGTGAAGTCTTGGCTAATGTCCAACTATCTACATCTGAATGAGGGAAAGACAGAGCTCATTGTTTTTCACCCCAACAGCAGGAATGTGGATCGTTATGCTGATCTTGGCCCTCTTTCTCCATACTCAAAACCAGTTGTTACCAGTTTGGGGGTGAAACTTGATGTAGGACTTAAATTTGATGCTCACATCAATTCTGTGATCCGGTCCAGTTTCTTTCACCTGAGACGCCTTGCTAAAATCAAGCATATGCTGTCGAGAGCTCACCTGGAGCAGGTACTGCATGCCTTTGTAATTTCTCAGCTTGACTACTGCAACTCTCTCTACGCAGGGTTGTGTCAGTCAACACTGCGTCGCCTACAGGTTGTGCAGAACAGCGCTGCCAGGTTCCTGAATGGGACCAGGAAACGGGACCACATCAGTCCAGTTCTGGCCTCTCTGCACTGGCTTCTGATTTGCTATCGCTCACAATTCAAAATACTCGTCTTTGTTTATCATTTCTTCCAGGGTGGTGCTCCCCCTATCTGGCCACACTCCTGAACAGACATTCCCCATCACGCGCTCTGCGCTCCTCTGACCAAGGCCTGCTCGCTGTCCCTCGGTCTAGGTGTCGTACCCGTGGGGACCGGGCTTTCTCAGTCCTAGCACCGTTACTCTGGAACCAGTTGCCACCCTCAGTTAGGCTGTCCCCATCTCTGCCAGTCTTTAAGAATCACCTAAAAACACACCTCCTCCGCTTGGCGTTTCCAGAACATGTTTGATTATGGCCCTCTATTATGTTGAATCCATTCCACAGTTTTCATTGGTACACTCAATCCATCCACTCAATCCAATTGTGTTTCACACATTTGTATTTTACCGGAATGTTTCATCTATCTTGTAATTTCCATTTTGTATTTTGTAATTTGTATTTTGTAATTTGAATTTCTTTTATTGTTGATTTATTGTGTATAATTACTTACAACTGTACCATGTTCAGCGCTTTGGGCTTCCTGACAGGGTTGCGGAAGGCACTTTATAAATAAAGCTTTGATTGATTGATTGATTACTTTTGTGGTCCCATAAATTGAGATGATTTATGTTTGAATCTGCTGATAAGAGGGCCCTTGAATGTCATTTTTTCCATACTCAGAAATTTGAGAAATCCTCATATTCATTTTCTAAGTTGATAAATGAGTACTCAGGATTACTCATGTTACTTGTTTCTACACATACTTGAAAAGTATTTGACCGTATTACTTTCACAGCTACTGTTAGGTAACTACAGATCATGTGTTATATTTTACAAGGTAAGCAAAAATAAATGTTGCCTTTTGGTCAAAAGATTGTTTCTGTTTACAGTTTTAGAATCACTTTATTTTACCTTGTAAATTTGCATTTTTGGAGCATGACCAGTTTAAAGTCTAATAAAAATGTCCCGTAGCTTTAAATAACTTGTACAACAAAGTAGTTCATCCTGGAGCCGACACTCTTTGTTAATACTGATTGTGAATCGATTTAAATCGAGAATCGATTCTGAATCGAATCGGCATCCTAAGAATCGGAATCGAATCAAATCGTGAGTTGCTCCAACATTCACATCCCTAATTGTTACCATTACAGACTGTGTTTGAACACTTTAGACTTAATGTCAAATATTTGTGCTTTGTGAGTTTTCTAGAGATCTTTAGCCTTTTCAGAAGAATAAAATATATTTCAAAAAGCCAAAACTTATCTTTTGGGGAGTTTCGAGTCATTTTTATGAGACTGAAATGGTAAAAGTTGCCAGTAAAATAAAATATAATTAAGTGCCAACAGATAAACTCTTAGGTCAATACGGCAGACCAAACAAATGAAAATCAGACAATTATTAAGACAGAAAAAGCCATCAGAATGATTCTCAGTTTAAAAATGTTTTGCATAAAGAAACTGAAGACAGAGAAAAATAAAAAGATTAGTTGGAAAAAGGGAAGAATTCACAAACTAAAGATTATATCAAAAGTGTAAAATCTTAGCTAAACATAGAAACGGACTTTAGAGAAGGTAAGAGGTGGAGAAGCAACAGAAACATGAATGAAAACATTAAAATTACCAAAAAGATAAAAAATAAATTTGGGTTTTAACAGAAAATGCATGAAAAGTTATAAAAAGCTTCAAATGGTATGAATTAAACAGCAATGTTGTTATGGCATTAGTAATCCTATCAATATAGTTTTGAAATCAGTGTTTTTAGTGTTGCTTATGATTTTCTTTCAGCTGTTAAAATATTAGCGAGAGTTGGACTTTTGTCCCCAACTGGGAGTGTTAAACCACATCCGAGTGGGTAAATAAAAGGTTCTGAAGCGTGATTATCAGACGGATTAGATCTACTGTTTCACATCAAACACATTCGTAAGACTTCTCCGCCTTTAACGTCTCATAAAAGCATTCAGTACCTGGATGCTCCGTCTAGCAGATGTGTAGATTTAATCACGCTGATTTTGTCCAGCAGCTCCGCTGATAGGAAACACAGATATTGAGTTTTTAATCAGAGTTAAACCGATAAACACTCAGATCCTTCACCAGCTCACCAGTGGAGAGGGGTCGAGTCGGGTCGTGTAAAGGCTCAACCTCCGCGTTCCATAAGTGAGCAGGTTGGCCTCGGGGCTTCGCCTGCCGCCTTGCCAAGAGGTCGTGATACTCCGCCCAGTTACTGCACCTGCGAACCTTTAAATAAACAAATAAATAAGTGTGACTTATCCACCCGTGATATGTTTAGTTTTTACCTCTTTGTCTTTGTTCATGTCCCGCCACCGCCTGTGTTTGTGCTGCTCCCTCTTCCTCTCTTTTGCAGACATCTTCACATGTCGCAGGTTTATTTTGTGCCTCCAAGCTGCGACGTCACAAACTCCAGCCGTCAGATCTGCAGGCAGCAGCGACGGGTCCGGGGGGGCCATGCAGCTGGGGCGCTGGCCCCCGTGGCCCAGGTCCGGGAAGAAGATGGTGCTGAAGTCCCAGCGTGAGCGAGCAGATGAAGAGGCGGTGATCAAGGTTTTCTCAGAGTCTCGTCCAGGACCATTCCAGGTCCTCCAGGTTCTGACCCGACTGTCATCTGCAGAGCTGATGGAGGCGTTCTGGGCCTCAGGAGGTTCTGCAGAGGTCACTAGGAGTGACTCGGGGAGTTTACTATCCTCCTCCATTTTCTCAGCGGGGGATTCAGCTCGTGTTTCAGTCTGACTGCAGAGAAAACACAAACCAGCTGCAGACTTGTGCTTGTTAGGGAGAAGCTGCAGTTTTTATCAAATAATAATGTTAAAACTCTCATTTTAAAGTAAACGTATTTACTTTATTTTTTAACCAACATTAACTTAATGATCGTAGCTTAAAACGTTTGTATTTCTTAGCTTTACCTCCACACACGTGCACATCTGCTCCTCATTTAACGTCTTTTTCAGAGCTTTGATGTCTGGTTGTTTTTAACTGGAAGTCCTTCTTTACCAAACACTCGTTATTGATTCTCGTAAATACTTTTGAACAAACTGGTGAGTTTTTCTAACTGAAACATTTGTAGCATGTTTTAAAACACTTTGAGCTGCATTTTTACGATAAACAAATAAACAGTAAATGCAAGTTTTGTCCCGATTATTTCCCTTGATGGTTAAACCAGGCAGTAACGAAACTGTGGTTTGGGGTTTAGGATCGGGCTGCTTACCTGGACGTCGGGCTGACGCTCCGTTTCCTCTTCAGCGTTCTTCCTCCTCGCTCATGGGACTGGGGCAGGTTCAGCTGTCTCACATAGGACGACGGCTCCAAGCTGGAAAAAAACAACACAAACAAGTCTGCCACTCATTTTAAACAAGGAAAACTGCGTTTATCTATTCAGTTTGGTTCTATCTTTAAACAAAACCCAGAAAGACACCGATTCTAAAATCTCACTATGTATTTTGTGTCAAATCAAATGGATTTGACCTTTTTTTAATTATTTTTTTAATGAAGCAGCTTGTTTTGATATAATCCTATTAGTAACGGGTGATATAAACAGTATATGGTACAAATTATCTGGATTTAGCCAACGATATTCTGACTCAGCCTTCTGCGATTGGACATGCTGATGGACGCTGCTGCGTCTACTTTGGACAAAAGGAGTGTCTGCTGCTGAGAGCCTGGAGCGGGTGGAGGAGGAGGAGTTTGTAAAGAAGACTAAGTTAATATTGCATTAATGCAAATTCCATGTAGCACTGTTAATGTGCAATTAAACATTTAAACTAAATAAAACCTAAACTAAAACTCGCAAACAGCTAAAAGCTAATTAAACTAAATTTGAAATAAAAATAAATGGCCTGTATTTGATATAGCGCCTTCTAGAGTCCTGGAACCCCCCCAAGGCACTTTACAACACAATCAGTCATTCACCCATTCACACACACATTCACACACTGGTGGGGATGAGCTACGATGTAGCCACAGCTGCCCTGGGGCGCACTGACAGAGGCGAGGCTGCCGAGCGCAGGTGCCACCGGTCCCTCCGACCACCACCAGCAGGCAACGTGGGTTAAGTGCCTTGCCCAAGGACACAACGACAGCGACAAACTGAGCGGGGCTCAAACCTGCAACCTTCCGATTACGGGGCGAGCACTTAACTCCTGTGCCACAGAAAGTAGCTAAGGGTCCTCAGAAACGTAGCTAGCTTTGTCACTAGGCGTTAGGAACAGCGACAAAGTGGCACTGCCTCTCTCTCTGCTGCTAAAGCTACGGATAGCAAATGCTACGGGCTATGCCTGAGCGTGAACGCGCATGAAGCAGCCTGCTCGACCCGAGCATCTCTCTTTTTCTGTGATTTTACAGAAAAACAGGCAATCACAGTAAAAATGCCAGGGCTCATTCTACAGGACCAGGGCATTGCAGGAGAATGTATGAAGAAGACATTTATTATTTCTATACATGTTTTGGCTGTCACACTTCCATAATGCCCCTTTAATCATAGCATACCATAAAATGACTATAAAGCTTTATGTTTTTTTTATTACTTTGGCACGTTTAATGTCTTTTAAATGGCATTCTGTTCTTTTTTAAGTCTTTGTGTTGCTGCCTGTATCTGGTAGGTGAGAATATTCCAACTGTAATCCTGACGTATAATCAGAAGATAAGAATGGGCTGAGATAAATAATGTTACTAATCATGCTTCAGATTATATCGCAATATTTATTCAAAGTGCTGAATAATATTTTTGCATCGAACAAACGGTTCTGTTACCTCGGATCAAATCTGTGCACCACGTAGCCGAGCCTCTTCAGATGCCCGAAAACCTTTAAAACAAAAGCGAGTCTTGAGATGGATTCAGAAGCACGTTTCAGAACAAGAATTAAAACAACGTTACCTGAAACTGCTGCAGGCCGACTGTGTCCGAGGACAGAAACATCTCATATCCATCCTGGATGGAGAGCGGCAGCTCCTTAAAAAACACCAGCACGTTTCCCTGCTCTCATAAACAAATTCAATAAGTTAAAAAAGTAGAACCGAATCAATGGAATTAATCGAGTGTCCTTTGTTGTGAAACCACCACATTCTGATGAACTGGATCAATCTGCCACTCACACACTCCATCAGGTAGAGAGCCTCTTCAGGGAGGAGGAACTGCTTTCCGTCAGACGAAAAGCCCATCGTCTGCCAAAACTTTCCCTGTGAAAAATGAAACTGAATTTAGCAGCTGAGATGGTTCCACAGTGATAACGGGTCGATTCGTCTCAAAGCAGCAAACGGATTAAGGGGAAAAGTTTACTTTCAGATCAGGTCAGCTTATTTGGGGCGACGGTGGCACAGGAGTTAAGTGCTCGCCCCGTAATCGGAAGGTTGGAGGTTCGGGCCCCGCTCAGTCTGTCGTTGTGTCCTTGGGCAAGACACTTAACCCACGTTGCCTGCTGATGGTGGTCGGAGGGACCGGTGGCGCCTGCGCTCGGCACCCTTGCCTCTGTCAGTGCGCCCCAGGGCAGCTGTGGCTACATCGTAGCTCATCACCACCAGTGAGTGAATGTGTCCATTTCTATGTTTAGCTAAAATTTTACACTTTTGATATAATCTTTAGTTTGTGAATTCTTCTCTTTTTTCCAACTAATCTTTTTATTTTTCTCTGTCTTCAGTTTCTTTATGCAAAACATTTTTAAACTGAGAATCATTCTGATGGCTTTTTCTGTCTTAATAATTGTCTGATTTTCATTTGTTTGGTCTGCCGTATTGACCTAAGAGTTTATCTGTTGGTCCTTAATTATATTTCATTTTACTGGCAACTTTTACCATTTCAGTCTCATAAAAATGACTCGAAACTCCCCAAAAGATAAGTTTTGGCTTTTTGAAATATGTTTTAATATTCTGAAAAGGCTAAAGATCTCTAGAAAACTCACAAAGCACAAATATTTGACATTAAGTCTAAAGTGTTCAAACACAGTCTGTAATGGTAACAATTAGGGATGTGAATGTTGGAGCAACTCACGATTTGATTCGATTCCGATTCTTAGGATGCCGATTCGATTCAGAATCGATTCTCGATTTAAATCGATTCACAATTAGTATTAACAAAGAGTGTCGGCTCCAGGATGAACTACTTTGTTGTACAAGTTATTTAAAGCTACGGGACATTTTTATTAGACTTTAAACTGGTCATGCTCCAAAAATGCAAACTTACAATGTAAAATAAAGTGATTCTAAAACTGTAAACAGAAATCATTTGGCCAAAAGGCAACATTTATTTTTGCTTACCTTGTAAAATATAACACATCTGTAGTTACCCAACAGTAGCTTTCAAAGCAATACGGTCAAATACTTTTCAAGTATGTGTAGAAACAAGTTACATGAGTAATCCTGAGTACTCATTAATCAACTTCATCACCATAAATATGCTGGACATCTTCTTTCCATAGACTCCAATATCACGTTTCTGAGGCTAAGTGGGAGGTGGCCACCACCGCCATTTTGACCGTGTCACAGGTTCCGTCAAGCCCAGACAATTCCACAAAAGGGAAGAGAGGAGGAGCTGAGGGTGGGGCTGTAAGGCTGGGATCAACTGACGACACCCGGTCGAACTAGCTAAAAGCTAACCTGAAGCTAACCCTGGCTAACCCAAAGCTAACACAGAGGTGGGGGCTAAGCTAACGGAGGTAGCAACCTAGCTACAACCGGAGTTAACTGTGCACTACACCAGAGCTTCTGAGTCAGAGATACGCCGGGCTGACCGCTGGGTAAAACCGGGTGGAACAGAGGTCTCCGAGAGCTTCACAAGACGGCAGCCGCACAGCCGCACAGCAGACAAGCGCCGCTGCAATCTGAGATGCGCAGAGCTGCTGCTGGGGAGAACCGGGTGGAAAGGTTTCCATCCCAGAGCTCCACAAGCCGGTAGCCCGCGCAGCAGACAGAGATGCACCGAGCTGCGGGAAGGGGAGAATGGGTGGAAAACATCGGTCTCCCGAGAGCTCCACAAGCCGATAGTGGGAACCCAGCTCCACCAACATGTTATATTTCAACCCATTTTCTAAAGTGCAGCATTATGTTAAATGCACTGGGTTTTACCCTGTTACATTTAAATTTCATGGTTAAACAGTACATGTTAACATCTAAGCTCAGCTCGGCAGTGACCTAAAATACATAAATATAATTTTACTTACCAAAAAAAATGAAGTGGAGACTCCTTGGAGCCACAGCAAGTCATTTTGTCCAACAATTGCACAAAAAATATCCAAAACAGAATACACAAACACAGAGACTCAAAATCCCGGAGCAGTTTCCAGGCCAGGCCGAGGCTCTACTGAGGCCTTTCCACGGAGCTAGTTCTGTGGTCACGTGGGTCTGATGTTCATTAATTATACAGAATTTTAGGATTTTAATACACTTAGAAGAGTGAGAAAAAAATGCATCCCCCTCAGAGTTGTCATGAGTGTAAACTAGATCATTTAAACCAAAAACATGTTTTGGTACCAGGCTGTAAACATGTTTATTTCTGCTGTGAAATTGGTATTTTTAACATGGGAGTCAATGAGGATTTGCTTGCTTCTGACACCAGCCCCTAGTGGATGAGGGTGGAACTGCAATTTTGGGTACTTCCGGGTTTGACTCAATTATAGAGCTCCATTGTGGGGGCTTGATCAACTTAGAAAATAAATATGAGAATATCTGAAATTTCTGAGTATGGAAAAAATGACATTCAAGGGCCCTCTTATCAGCAGATTCAAACATAAATCATCTCAATTTATGGGACCACAAAAGTAATCGGAGTACTGACTCTCCTAACAAAGATCAAAAAAGTGCATCTCAAACCTGTAACGTGCCAAATATTTGAGTTCTTGGAATCAATTCTGAACCTTTATAAATAAGAATCCCGATCCAGACTTGAATCGATTTTTTTGCACCTCTAGTAGTAATATTAAACACACAGACGCATGTTTTTGTTCCAGTTGCAGGCAGACAGAATATAAATGAATGTAACTAGAACTCACAGCTGGAGTCTGAAGCTCCACAATCTGCTCATTTGGATTCCACGTGGCTTTCACCAGATTTCCTCTGCGGCAGCATGAAAACAGACAAGACTGTTTAGTCTTAATGAAACCAGACGGTTCCAATCAGAAATGAGGATTTACAGGTATGTCTGTGTGTCTAAAGTAAATTAAGTATTTAAACTTAAAGGTCTGCTTCTCTTAGCTGACTCATCAAAAAACTAAATTTAAAAATTAGGTTTCAAAAGGTTTTCATTTCTATCAACAAGTCTAACAACTACTGTTTCGTTGCAGCAATTACATGTTGTCCTTTACGTTTTAAGGACCTCAAACCTTTTGATTTTCTTTTCTGTTTGTTTAAGTTAAAACATTTAAAGAGTTCACACCTGTAATAATTAGGATAACAAAAGACAGAAGTGACTCACAGCCTCTCGACTCGCTCTTCTGATACGAGGCTCCAGTGTTCCTCCAGAGTCTGCTGCAGCTGCTCCCTCTGCTTCTTCGAGTCATCGGGGAAAAAGTCCTTCTGCCCTCTCACTGGGATTTTATGACTCCTGGAGCGAGCTGCAAACAGCTCACTTGGACTGCAAATTAAAAAAAAAACTGATTTCAGCTGCTGAGATTTGCTTTTAATCATTAACCGACAAAAGGAAACCAAGAAAACTTTCATCTGACGCCTTTTAAAAGCTCTAAAGGTTTTAGGGGAAACATGTAGGGGAAAATCAAACTACTCACAAACGTACTGGATAAACAAATACCTTGGAGGCTACAGACTTCAGTGTTTCCCCTAGGAATTTTTCTAGCTGTGGTGGTGGTGGTGGGGGGGGGGGGGGGGGGGTAATGACACGTCTCACCTTTATGTTAATATTGTTTTATTTTATGCACTCCACTTTGAACTGCACCAATCCAGCAACTGCTGCATTTTAATAACTAGTATTAAAGGTGAATACACCAGTATTTGCACAAAAATACATTTTGTTTGAAACTCTCAGTGACACACTTTGCAGGGGATTTGGCATTTAATTTTTCTTGGCGTCTGGAAAAACATCTCCTTCTGCCCCCTTTACTTTGGTCCAAGATCATTACTGGGCTGGCCCAATTAAAAACGTTCTACACCCCTGCTTAGTAGACTTAATGAAGTATTTTTAAGCCAGTATAAAAATGACTGAAACACAAATTTACATATTTGGCATTATTGACCAATATCTTTGATTTAATTTATTTGTTAAGAACATCAAGATGCATTACAGTGAACATCATAATAAAGTACATGTTTCTAGTGCAGAGAGGAGACGACCCGTAGAAGCACTGATTTGATCTCATTTCAGAGAAAAATAGAACAGGTCAAGTGCACCTAATAAATAAAATTACTAACATAAACTCAGGAATCTGTTTCTTTGCTTCATTGTTCTGGTGCTGAAAATATCACTAATGCAGATCAAAGGAGATTCACAGATGAATTTATTATTTGGAAATTAGTGGGTGTGGTTTACATCAATACATTATTTTAAATCTGAAATTGATATGGATTGATCAGCAGTTGCTATCTGTATTGTTTATTTGAAAACTATTTACAGAGCAGCCTCAGAATTGAGATGAAATATTTTTGATCACAATAGTAAAGAAACTATTACAGAACAAGTTTTTCAGTAAAATCAGAACATTAATGTTTAAGTGCATGGATTAATGCATCTGAACTCATGCAGTAGGAACTAGGAAATATGAAATGCTAGAACCATTTTAATTTGATTAAACAGTTTTTCCTAACGTTGTTGGCATTTTTCCCACGCACAGTTAAACAAAACTTTGTTGACTGAGGTGTCCTGTGTCTGTCTCTGTTGCCCTGCAATGAAGTGGCAACATGTCTAGGGTCAGGTGTACTCCGCCTGCTTGCCCAGAGACTGCTGGAGACAATCCTGTGTAGACAAGCGGGTATAGAAAATGGACAGACATGTGACTCCTTTTAAATATGAATTTTTATCACATAAAAGTTCATGTGTTTATTAGAACAGCTTGACTCACTGAAATGGAATAGCTGATGCACCTGTCCAGACTTGCTAAAATGCATATAAACAGCTATCAAACTCTTTTGTCCCACTAAAACATAACATACCGGTAATATATTAAAATTCTACACTGGAGATAAAAAAAATCAAAGAATCCTTCATTTAGATATTAAATTATTCCACTGTCAACTTCTCTGTGCATTGCATAGGAACAATTCAGTGTTTGTTTGTTTGTTTGTTTGTTTTTTTTTTGGGGGGGGGGGCTGCCATTGTTTTTTATTGTGCAGCACTTTGAGTATGAAGGGTGCTTTACTAAACAGAATAAAATTTCCCGAGACATACAACAGAGGGAGTCCGAGAGCCGAATATAACCTCTATCTTTACAAGATATTATTTCTATCTAAAACACCAGAAACACAACACATTCATTTATGTTTTATAGCCATTTTAGTCTTTATGTGTGTATTGGAGCTGAGCTAACAGTTAGCCCTAAATGTCCTGCACGTGCACAAAACGAGTCTAAAAGTTCCGACTGAAGAAAGAAACAGAGAATCGCTGAGAAAAGCGTTTGCGCCATAAAATATTTCTATCCTGACGATTGTCGTCCGAAAAATGCAAACTAAAACTACGTTTCACCTTAAAATTTCATTGTAGAATTTCTCCGCGTTACAAGTCTTGTTTGGGTTCGCCATGACAGTCTGAGGCTCCTCCTCCTCCTCTCTCCCTCTGGGTCCTAAAGCCCGTAAAGTTTAGTTGTATCGAAAAGACAGCCAGCAGGGGGCGCAAAAACACAAAACCTAACAATCCTTTCACATTAGAATAATTATGAAATTCTTATCATTCCGAAACTAACCACACAGCCCATAAACACTTTCTATCCAGCTGCAGCTGGGCCGCTTTATGTGTCTGAGCGTCCTCCTCATTCCTAACAAAGACAATAATACCATTTTCTCCACCCAGTGTGTGTTGTATTTTATGTTACAAGTTGATTGACCAAGCACCCAAAAAAATCTTTCATGAGTTTAAAACTGGCAATAAACCTCATTCTGGTTTGGATGTTTGTGATTGTTTTGTGAGTGGTTTAATGCTGTTGTGACATGTTTGTTTTCACATTTTCTGGTCTTGCTGCTGCTTCTTTGCTAGGTTTTCATTGTAATTGGGATTAGGTTCTAAATTGACTCATCTGGTTCAATATTAGTAAATTAAAACTCCTCTGCATTTTTATTTGTTGCACTGAGACTTTTGTTTTGTCTAGAAAGGACATTATATCCAAGTAGATTAACCTTTGTTTCCACAAATTTTCACTGAGGTATATTAAATGTCAAAATAATAGAAGCATGTTAAATCACACTGTCAATGACAATAATAATAATGGTAAATACATAAATGGTTTAGATATAAAGTATAAATTATGAACCATCAAGAAGCAAGTTTATCATTTCAGAATCACTTTTTTTGGTTAAAAAGTCAAAAGAAGTTGACAATTTACAGTTTTTCTGAACTTCTAAAACACTAAACTCCATTCCTTAAACCAAATCCCCTAATCTATTTTTTGAATCTTCCACCAACACATTCTCAGCAACTAAGCACATCCCACACGACACACAGCAACTTAAAAATCAACCTCTTTCTAAAAATGTGATCTGACCAATTGTGGAGGATAAAAGTCAGTTCAGAGTGCTCAGGTGACTCATTCATATCTACATGGATAGACACATACAGAGAGAGGAGGAAGAGTCCAAGTGGAGGTAATGGACTAGAATGAAGACCAAAAACAGCCATTACTGATGAAACTGGGGAGACTAAACACTGTTTACTGATCACCTCATGTTTTTTTGTTATGAGTAAAAATAATGTTGATGATGATGATGACGACAATGACGATGACGATGAAGATGATGATGACGATGACGATGATGACGACGACGACAATGACGATGATAATGACGATAATGATGATGATGATAATGATGAATATGTTGTTGTTGATGATGATGGTAATGATGATGATGATGATGAAGGTGATGACAATAATGACGATGAGGACTATGACAATGATGATGATGATGATGAGGATGATAACAACAATGACGACGAAGATGATGACAATGATGATGATGATGATGTAAATGACAACAACAATGACAATGAGGACGATGACAATGATGATGATGATGGTGTAACGGAATGTAAGTGATGTATCTATCTAGAGTTGTATTTTAATACACTGTAAGTAGTTCACTTTTTATAAACAGAAGAATAGGCTGTTTTTATCATCAGGGAGTTTAATTAAACACTCTGTATTGACTTTGAGACAAGAAAAGAGAGAGAGATGGGATCGTTTGAGAATCTTTAATTTCTGAATTATAAATTCTAAACAATCTACCAGGACTAACTCTGTGATGGATGAAAATGGATTCGGATGTTGTGTTGGTGCGTGTGTGTGTGTGTGTGTGTCTGGTTCAGACTCTCTAGGCTGACGTCAATGAATCTGGTCGTCTTTGTTATGACTAGATATCACGAGGCTTATAAAGTGATGACATGAGCCGCTATTTTGCCGTGTACGTACCCAGTGGGGGGTCTCCCAGGTAGATCAGGAAATGCCAGGTCTGGAGACCTCGGATGTACGCTGGAGCTGTCGGTGCAGCGATAACAACGTTTCAAAGCCCGTCTGGAGGGTCGACCCCGGTACCGTTCGGCGGTGTCAGCAGGTGCTCTTATTTTGAAAGGACGTCGTCTGGTTGTTAAACGACGAAAATCTCCCGCTTCACAGTTCTTAGTTTAAAGAAGAAAACACATCTGGCCAGGCTGTGCTTTTCTTTAGGATGACGGTGAATAGAACTGAAGTCAAAATGGAACTGCCTTAAAAATGGCGTTGCCTTGTTTTATATCTCTGTTGAGGGTCTGACCTCATGAGGAAATTACTATGCAGTGATTTTCTCCAAAATGACTGTGCTTAAATTGCTCTGAAAAGCAAATAATCACATCAGCGCCAAGAAACTTCATTTCCCATGATGCTTTGCACACGGAAGCATTGTAATGACGTCACCGCCTAGTACCAGAAACACGTTCTGCGCATGTGCGGGAAGCCGTGGAGCTTTTCCCGCGAACTAAGACCATAAATCTTCAGCAGAGACAAAGAAACCTCGTTCTTTTGCCCAGGATACCTGGCGGTTAGGACACGCTTGTCAACGCTCCGACAACTTGAGCACGCGGAAGCTCTAAGTGCCCGAGTTGAGTCCACGGAACTGCTGGAAACTAAACTGCCAGCCCATCAGATCTGCTCGTTTCTGCTCCCCTCCAGCTGATGTTTGAGGACACAGAACTGCGGAGGAAAGCAACAACTCCATCAAGCACGCTGTAAGTTATAACTCAGCACAGAAAGAAACTTTGCTGTCTCTGTCCAGCCCGTGGAGAAACACTCGTGAACGCCAAACAACGGAGAAAGCATCAAACCGACGGACGACGCCGAAAGCTGCGGAGAAACACGGAGAACCGTCAAATCAAAGAGGGAGGGACGCCTCGCTCTTCTGGTGATCAGCAACTCATCTCTTTCTCTCTCTCCTTCTTCTTCCGTTAACTCTATAGTCCAGAATAAGCAATAAAACCGCGCTATTGCTTAAAAAGTAGCTTCGTGTTTTCCTCTTTCGTCCCAAAAACGTCCGTCGGGTCATTTTGAAAGAATAAACTGCTTATTGATCATTGTTTGGTATCTTAAAATGGTTTCTGTCATGGCCAGGCTGAAACTAAAAGATATTAATTTGTGATTAATCTTTTGTGTTGTTTCATGATCTTTTGAAATGTTTTGAGTGATTTAAGGTTAAGTTACTACTGATTCTAAGTGCTTTGGAAGTTAAAGTGCAAGTTGCCACCCACACTTTAGCCAGACAAAGGGGTCAGCCATCTTGTATTCAAGACTCCATTTTGAATCCATACACACGCACACACACACACACACACACACACACACACACTACTCCTTTGTGAGAACAAAGGACCCCATTTATACATCCTCCATCACATGCAAACACATCCATCTTCAATCATATCACACGGTTATTATTCATCTATTCCACTGTTTATTCATTTGACAAATTGTTAATTAAATGTTATAAAATTCAGATTTTTGTGTCCAGTAGCTTTGTTGTGTCGAAGAGAAGTCTCTGCTCCGAGGATTCTACGAACTTCAAGAAAGACTGATAAGAGTTTTGGATTCATTTCCCTTTCTAATTAAAGGGTGGTGCCCCGAAGATATCTAAGAATATCTTAATTAATTAATAAATCAGTAAATAGTTCCATATTTACAGAATTTATTGAAGAATCCAAAAGTAAGTTAAAGCTTACGAATTGTTCGCTCCTAATAACCCCAACATTTTATTGGTGCAGCCCGCGTGAGGCTTGGATACACAGAGATTTCTATCCGGCACAAACAAACAAATAAATCCAAAGAGCTTGAATTAAAAATAGTCAGTTGTTCAGCCTTGAACCAGCAACAGAGTGGTGCTGATTTCGCTGAGCAGGAAGCTGCATCGAACTCTCACCAGTAACTCAGTGCTTCTTTAAAGGTGCAACGTGTAAATTAATTCTGGTTAACCTTTTAGGTTAAAATTCAGCTTTTCCTTAAAGGTGCAACGTGTAATTAATTCTGGCTAACCTTTTAGGTTAAAATTCAGTTTTTCCTTAAAGGTGCAACGTGTAATTAATTCTGGCTAACCTTTTAGGTTAAAATTCAGTTTTTCCTTAAAGGTGCAACGTGTAATTAATTCTGGCTAACCTTTTAGGTTAAAATTCAGTTCCTCATTAAAGGTGCAGCGTGTAAGTAATTCTGACTAACCCTTTTAGGCTAAAATTAACTGCTAATTTAGCGACTTTAACTCACAGTGGCTATTATAACTAACTGAAACCTTCACTCAAAGACTGATAACACCCTGTTTGCTAATATTCTGAAGGAATAACTAGCATATTTAACACTGCAAGTGTTGTAAGACGTTGCTACGGCAACGCACCAGCTTTTGCTAAAATACTGAAAGGAATAGTATTTTAAGCGTCAGTCACGGCATTCCGTGCAATCTTAAAACGCTAAAACCTGTGCGCACAAAGGTTAATTTAGTGTTTTTCTGCTACAAAGCTAGCAGTTGCTGCCCAAAAGGTGCAGCTTGAGCTATCTGCAGAAGCTCTACTAGGCTATTTTCGGTTCGGTTGTTAAAAATGGAGGGACAGAGTAGTGAACTGACCAACTCCCAGCAACCAGGTGGCGCTGCGGCCCACGACTATGAACCTGGCCTACTTTCTGGACAAATATTGTCCAAACTGGTCGCGGTTGCTCGAGAACCCGACTACCCTTCTAGGGATTTCACTGAAGAACAGCGTAGCGTCGAGCTAGAAGCTGTAATCGATCAAATAGAAAACCCGGATGGTACAAAACCAATCCAGGTTCACTTAGCTAAGTTAGCCCTGATCCTCTATCAGAGAGGACTCCAACATGATAGAGAGATCATGAACCTCCAGAGTATGCTAGCTGAAAAACAGCGAAATGGAAGGCTGATCGAGGAAGACAACACCAGCACCGATTCTGGGGAAGATGGGGAGAAGACCCCGCCCCCTTCTGCTGATGACAACAGACAGTGGGAAGGGGGGGAACACCGTGACTCTGAGGCTGAGCCAGAGTGCTCTCCCACACCGGTACGAAAGCAAGCCGGCAAAGCCAACCAGGGTCCGCCCAGGACGATCGCCAAAGACCAATTGGTTTCCTCCACCCAAGGAAGCGAGGGACCGCCGTCCCGCCGTAAAGGTAGGCTACCTCCTGATACGTCTCCATACGATAATCAACAGTATGTGGTGTGGGACTCTCTGGACGGACGCACGCCGCAGGGGAGAGATGAAGCTCATCTGTTCCAACCTTCGGCCCCGTTCCCTACACACACTATAGGGCATTCAGGACCACCTAGGGGCCGAGAGCAGTTCGCCCTCGAATCCCAGGTTGGAACACCACCCTCATCATCACGGCCTTCTCAATCAGTGAGAAGTCGACCAGCTGAGCGGCACCTCTATTTAGACCGCTCCCCCAGTCCACGAAGGGTGCAAGGTGCCGATTGGGGTTATGCACCCCAAGCTGCACCTCAACCATCCACCCATCCTAGCTACTCCGGTATTCGGCATGCCGATAACCAGCTGCAGGACAAAGCATCATACGCCAGTCCGTATCCGGACAAAGTGTATTACGCAGAAGCCCCAGTTGAAAGACGCAGGCTGCACTACGCAGACGTGCCCCGGGAGGAGGACCTCCCAAGACACCCACGTGACGTGCCAGCAGCCCGCCACAACATGCCGGACCCCGATTTGGGCCCCAGGAGTCAACATTGGGAGCCCAGAGCACACCAGCGATATCCAGCGCCCTCTGAGACAGACCGTGGGTCAGAGTCAGAGGATGACGCGCCGTACCGTGAGTCAGGGCTCCGTGTACGTCAAATTGAATCGCTAGCTAAAGACGTAGAACGTTTTGATCCTAACACCAATGAATCCAATGTCGACGATTATCTCAGGGAGATAGAACGTTGTCTGCTTGATCTTCCAGCACCCTCTTCAAGGGAAAAGCTCAAGCTAATTTGGAAAACCACATCTAGAACGGTGCACGGTTTCATGGAAACTCTACCATCTGACATTCGAGATCGGTACTCCTCGCTCTGCCGAGCGTTGAGAGATGAATACGCCACGTATGCAGACTCTGCGTCAGCTACAATGGGGGCCTTCTCCATCAAACACGGGAGGAACGAACCCCCCAGAGAGTATTATCGCCGACTCAAAAGTGCTTATTTCCAAGGTCGAAACGGCCCTGGGCTCGAGGAAGACCCTGCCTTCAGATCCCTGTTCATTCACAACCTGCACGAGTGTGTTCGCTCCGAAGTCTCAATGTATTGTCGGATAAAAAAACTGACGACTCAGGAGATTAGGAGATACGCTCAACAGGCTTGGGAAGCCGGCGGAAAGCCCCAAAAGCCTGACGCACATCACCGCGTCATGCACCTAACTCCCGACACCGAGCCGCGTTTGGAGCTCGAAGGCACAGAAGCTCCACCCACTAAGCCAAAATCTGCTAAACCTAGACCTGTTAAACCGCGAGAGCAGTCCCAATCTCCTCAACAGGGGAAGGGGGGTGCTGATTGGCCGCCTAGGTCTGGACAATCAGACAGGAAGTGGCCCAACCAAAACCAACGGCAAGCAGGTCGGAACAGTGGAAGGTTTAAGGAGCGCCGCCCACAGGTAGGTCCCGAACACAAGTCCGCAGGTGAGTACTTGACCAAAGCCGACCTCCAGGAGATGTTTCAGCAGTTCCTAGCTAAACAGAAGGAACAGCTGAGATCTGCAGATGAGACCCCTGCACCAAAGTCTTCTTCTAAGAAGCCAGACCCAGAGCCAACGTCCGCATGACTAGGCGTGGCTCAAACCCCCAGCGTGGCCAGGACCTACCTGATCAGCTGGGGGAACACTACTGGTAGATCACAGGAGTCTCCTGAAATCTACCCCCCAGAGAAACCTGATACTAAATTTCTGAAGTTCCTTGGTGACTTAACAAACCATGATCATGCTCGCCGTTTGTACTGTAGCACCAACGTAGGTGGATGCATACAGGTTGATGCTCTGCTGGATACCGGCTCAGAAATCACCCTGATGTGCTCCACACTGTTCCATCGCGTGTCTGACACCATGCGGTCACTCGGGAAACCAGTCCAGGTAGAACCCTGTGACCTGAAAATCACCAGCTACACCCAGACCCGGGAG